ACATGCACTTACAGACACTCACACATACACAGACAGACCTACAGACACACACACACTTACAGACACACACACACATATACTTACAGACACACACACACACATATACTTACAGACACAGACACACACACACAGACACACATACACTTACAGACACACACACACACACACACACACACACATACACTTACAGACACACACACATACACTTAGAGACAAACACATACACACACAAATTATTAATATTAAATATCCACCCAGCCTCCCTACCTGGAGAGCTGGTGTGGATCTGTCCCTGGGGTCCAGTGGGGTTTCACTTAGGCGGGCGGCTAATCAGACGCAGTGAGTGAGCTCTAACCTCTCTGCTCTGCTCCCTCGCGGACTGTCTACTGATGCCGGGAGCCGGAATATGACGTCATATTCCGGCTCCCGCGGCATCAGCAAACATCGCGCGAGGGTGCAGAGCAGAGAGGTTAGAGCTCCCTCGCCGCGACTGATTAGAACTCTGCCATGCCGGGGGGTCCAGAAGGTGGCCTGGCAGGAGGGAGTGCTTCCTCCTGCCGGTCACTAAAGACTTGCGCATGCAGAGCCGCTCGCGCCCGCCCAAAAGGAGAAATCCTCTTAAAAAGAGGATTTAGCCTCCAAAATCCCTCCCGCCCACCTGGAATCCTAAAACGCCCACTAGTGGGTGGTAGGGACCAGGTTGACGACCCATAGTGTAGGGTATGGCTGAAGGCGGGGCATGGGTGGGGCTTGCATCAGTGCTATACAAATGCCAATAATTATAATAATACTGAGTACACTATGATTTAGCCAAGCAGAATCATCAGCAGTCTTATCCAAGTTTGCGGATAGATGAGAATGTTAGTGTATACTTAGTTCTAGCCAAAAAAACAAATATAAAACTTGAACAGTACCTAACTGAGATCTCAAAAGGAAATGTGTTTAGATTAAATTGTTGTTGTAACTGAATCTAGTCTGACATTATTTGACTCAAAGACACATCTGCTGAAAATCACCTGAAAAAAAAGAATCCAAAAACAAATTTGCATAATTACTTAAAGTATAGATTACTGTGCATACAATTATGTAACATAACTTAATTGCCGGCTTCAAAAAGAAACTGGCAGCTCAGACTACTATACCTGAAGAAGGATTTGCATCTACTGTGAATACTGGTATTTTTTTAGGTAACAATGGATCTGATTCATCACTGACTCAAACATATACAGGTTCAGTAATGACATAAATATGCATTTTGTACACACCTCGTTGAATTATGTAACAGACATGTACAGTACATAAGACAGCTTATTTTTTACTAGGAAGTTTCAGAATGCGGTTTTTGGACCTGGGTGTATAATTGGTATGAAATACTTACTCATTCTTGAGAATGCATTAATGGCTACTGATAGAAATATTATGTGTTATGATCATACAAGATCATCTTTTAATATCACAATATTCTTGTTTTTAGTTTGTGTTTTATCAACACACTCAATTAGTTGTAAGAGTAGGACTTGCCAAAGATGGGTGTAACAGGATTACAATTTCTGCCTGGACTTCTTTAACAATTACATACCATGGATGTACAAATAAACTGACTTGCCTGTTTATGCGAACCACCATTGCCCAAGAAAAACGAATCCGAACACCGGACCACCCTGAAGTAAAAGTTAAGTGATACTTTACCTCCCAGTGCAGCACAGCCGTTCGCATGGTTCAGCACGAATCCTTTGTGTAAAGTATAGGTGGCCGCCATTTTGGGACTTTGCACGTGTTCGCGGCTATCTTACGCACGAACAGCGGTGTTTTGCCATCAATCGTGTGGAACTAAAAACGGATACGCAAACAGGCGAACACCGCTGAGACCTCCATAACAACGTGGATTCGTGCCGAAACTACTGAACGGCCCGCCGTTCGGTAGAAAGATTAAACTATGCATGGGGATTCTGGCGAACGTCATGATAACTGTGGATGGCAAGATTTTCGTGGGGT